CCGTATACCCCCAGCCAGTGCCTGTACAGCCCATAATGTACCCTACCTACACCTTGGGATACCCGATGCAGACCTCCTACCGCTTGAGCGGATCTCCCTGCTTTAGCGGCAGCAGCAGCTGCTCCACTTGCAGCAGATGCCCCGTAGTAGAGGAAGACCCTATCTTCTATGAACGTGAAACAATCCACCGATCCCTTGGAGAGGAGGATGGACCCTTCATGATGGGGAGAAGCCCCTACGGAAACCCTTATGGAACCCCCTACCCCCCCATGATGGGCAGCCCCTACGGCAGCACCCCCATGAACGCTCAGGGGTTCAACAACAGCGGCAGCAACTACCCCAGCTACAACTACTATTCTCGCCCTCGTTACAGCCCCACAGGAGCAGCAACCCCTTACTATAATCAACAGGGTAGCAGCAACGCCCCCATGACCCGCATGGGCAGCCTCGGCTCTCCCTATGGATACACCGTCTCCCCTAACAGCGGCTATCAGCCAGGAGCAAACGTCTTTCGTAACCTCGGTGTATTCGATGAACCTGAGATGATGGAGGAACCCTGGATGCCCTTCTTTCCTCCTGAAAGGTTTGAATCGTGAGTTCATCTGCTGCTGCTGTTGCTGCTGCTGTTGCTGCTGATGCTCATGCTGTTACTGCTTCTTTTCATGCTCCTATGGCTACTGTTGCTGCTAGTGACGTGGCGTTGTTGCTCCTACTGTTGTTGGTGGTGCTGTTCTTGTTGCTGCTGCTGCCGCAGCTGCTGCAGTTGTTGCTGCTGGTACTGGTGCAGCTAATGTTGGTGCTGCAGCTCGTACGGCGGGTGCATGCAGCAAAGGCTATATACTGAGTAGGGATTCCAGGGATTTAGAGTTTAGGGCTTTGTTTTGGTTTTTTGCGTTGCGGCTGTGCAGAATATTCTTCTAAACCATCCTAAACCCTAGACCCCAAGCCGTCAACCCACAGCTTAGCCTCTCTGGAGAGAAGCTTCTTGACTGCTGTCTGTACAGCAGGCCAGCATGGGTTAAAAGCGATACATAATATATATTATATACACTATATATAATGTGCATATATAGATATATGCATATTAACCCAGTTCCCGTCTTTTATCTCTTTTAGGGCTAATTATTTATAGTCGTTGTATGTATATGTTGTTGCATTATAGTTGTATTTATCCTACATTCTCTTCTGTATTTACAACCGGCATTAATTAACATTTTAAATTCATAAGTAACGCAAAATACAAACGTCGAAATATATAAATAAGCACAACTAAAAATATATTAATAGACATATATGCATATAGATACGTATACAGAGATACATGCGTG